ACTTAGTGTTTGGGGATGGTCTATCTATTCATTTTGCTAGACTGAAATGAAAAAAAACCTACAGCCTGCTGGCTTAAACCACAGAAATAAATTTTCTCAGTTCTGGGGCTTTGAAGTTCAAGATCAGCTTGAAGTTCAAGTTCTAGGGCTTGAAGTTCAGCAGATTCGATTTCTTCTGTGGCCTCTATTGTTGGCTCACAGATGGCTGCCCCCTCGCTGTTACCTTGTGTGGTCCTTCCTCTGCCCATGGGCATGCCTGCTGCCCCTCTGACACTGAATTTCCTCTTCTGAGAATACCAGTCAGAGGGATTAGGATCCATTTTAATAACCTCACTTCAATGGATTCACCTCTGTAAAGGCCTATCTCCAAACATTCTGAGGTCTGAGGTGCTGATGTGAAGGGTTTAACAGATGGGTCTTTGGAAGACACAATTCAGCCTACCACAGTTTGTGACACAACATCATCTCATAGCTATAAGGATCTGCTCTGCCACCAAAGGCAAAGTTAAAGGTTAGGCCTTGCATGCCGCCAACCCCACTGTTTGCCTACCTGGTTAGCCAGGCATCAGCTCTGAGAAGGGACCCAGGGCCTTCTCAGCATTGCTTGGGAGGCCCCAAATACCAAACAAAAATAAAATAACCAGGCTTTACAAGAAAAAATAATTTAAAGTACTAAGAATACAATTTTTAAAAAAAGATCTTACATACAATCTCTTTAAGTAATTACTCACCGCATGAACCATCCCTAAGTTTTCTTTTCTTTGCCTTGGGTGGGGAAGCTTGCTTATACCTTCTCAACATTTAGATTTTGGAAAATAAAATGATTCTCCCAGGTGACCTTTTCCCACCTTTAGCACTTTCTTTTGATCCCACCATAGGGACAAGGCATGGGAAAGGGCACATTCCCTAGAGGAAACTTGAAGTACAGTTGCCATCAAATGAGGCATGAATTTCTAAGCTCGAAGAAGGAACCTAAGTCTATTACACACTCTGGCTCTTCCTCCTGGTTTATACCATCCACTCTGTTCACCAGCCAGGGTTGTAGCAGGCCTTGCCAATGTGGATGTAGACTGCGCATCCATGAGATTCTGAACACCCGGAACTTAACAACAAAGTTCAACAGCTGAAATCAGTAGGGATTAATGTGAAGGTGTATACCTGCATCCAAAGGAAATAACAGCTGGTAGAGGATAAGGGAATAGTGGAGAAGCTTAATGAGAAACACAGATCGAGAGCGAGCCAACAGCAGGAGATGGCCAAGAATGTATGCGGGTGCTGAGCTATAGGAAGGTTTAAGGGATAGAGTCTGTATCTTAACTACTGGTTCTGTGTCATTCGCTTGGAATGTGAAAAGACGATTGATTAAATGTCTACTACAGAGTGGCCCCTGTCCAGGGTACTTTGCCATCTTCCCTGGTCAATACAAGCACACAGTGTTATATTCCCATTTGGCAGCAGGGTCCGTGAAGCAAGGACAGGTTAAGTAGCAGTCCCAGATCACACAGCTTCGATGGAGCCAATTTGGGACATAGGCAATCCGAGTGCAGAGCCTGAGTCGTCACTTGTAAACTAGGCTGGCACCTGGGGAGTGGGACAATGACACTCATCTCTCACAAGGATTGGGGTGAGAGAAGAAAAAGCTCCTACTGTGTGCTGTAAACATGCTAGGAATTTTAATACACACTTGTGTGCTGCCTCCTGGTAGATCAGTGTTATAGTTTCTAGGTAGGAAGAGACAATGGGTGTCTGGATTAATAATGGAAGGAATTGTGGGCTAGGATCTGAAAGAGAGGCAAGTTCAGGCATAGTAGAGAGTGAGTAAGTATTGGCTGGAGGGTTGTCTTGGTTGAAGATATTGTTTAGCTTCAAAACGTTGAGATGGGTTGGGTTGATAGCAATGTGACTCAAAATTCTTAGGGGGCAGAGTGACAGTATAGCAGTTAGGGCATTTGCCTTAAAAGGTTTGATGGTCAGCACCCCATATGGTCCCCCAAGCTTGCCAGGAGTAACCCCTGATCACAGAGCTTTTAGAAGTAAAACCCTGAGCACTACCAGGCGTGGCCCCGAATAAAACAAAATTATAAAGCTCTTCCTTATGCAACTTGTTAATACACATTCTCATACAAAATTTAATGATGGAGTCCAGAGGAGTAGTAGTACAAAGATTTCGCTGCTTGCCTTGGATCTTGCAGATGCTGGTTCAAATCCCCAGATGTACCTAGTGTTCCTGGACACTGCCAGGAGTCGCTCCAGAGCACAAGGCCAGAAATAGCCCCTGGGTATCAAAGAGTAGCACTGTAGCACTGTCCTCCCATTGTTCATTGATTTGCTCGAGTGGGACCAGTAATGTCTCCATTGTGAGACTTGTTGTTCCTGTTTTTGGCATATCGAATACGCCATGGGGAGCTTGCCAGGCTCTGCCATGCGGGCAGGATACTCTCGGTAGCTTTCAGGGCTCTCCAAGAGGGACAGAGGAATCGAACCCGGGTTGGCTGCATGCAAGGCCAACGCCCTACCTGCTGTGCTATCACTCCAGCCCCATCAAAGGGTGTGACCTCAAAACTATAAAAAAATTAAAATACTGTAAATATTATGCCATTGACGAAGCATATATGTATGCATTAAAAGCTTGTCAGTCATGCTGAGTGTTTACTGCCACTAAGTTAACCAGTATAGGCAATTATCACCCCCATTTTATACATGATGAACTTAACCAAACACATCTAAGGTCACACAGATAGGAGGCAGTGCATGAGTGCAAATAGCATACTCCAGGCCAGAGTTTCTAATGGGGTGGAGGGAGCTGCACTGACCCCCCAGAAGGCAGAATCAGAGCAAAAACACTAAGATCCCAGCATCTAAAGTGAGATTCCCGGGGCTGGAAATCTCAGGTTCAACCCATCTCAGAAACCTAGAGACCAGAAGCACAGATATAAGTGAATGAATATAAATAAAGTGATGCAAATGGGCTCTCCTGGGACCCCTCCGAGGTCCCCTGCAAAGCCAGGAAGCTCGTGGTACCATGTGCTAACCCTGCTGAGCTCAGTGCACGAGTGCTTTATTAAAAGGAAGTGTTTACCCGACCAACTCCTGGCAGGGCTGCCGCGGCAGTTTATTAGGACTTCATTTGGAGTGTAAATTGTTGCTGGTTTATAAAAAGGCTCTGCAGAGCAGCTCCGCTGGGATGGCCCCAATCCGCAGCACGGGGCATGTGAGGCTTTAACTAAATCATTGATTTCCCTCTGGAAGAAGCAGCTCGGATTGGAGCCACTCATTTCACTGCTAGCTGCTGTCTCCTCGCACCCGGAGGGCAAAGGTGGCCAGATCATCCGCCCTTCCCACCTGTGTCCATCTCTGTTTCCCCCACACATGCCCGGTGTGTGCAGCCAACACACAAGTCCGTGCACACCATACAAACACACATTCGTGTGTGCACACACCTACATGTGTACACCAGCTTACATACACACACACACGCATGCAGGTCCAGAGAGCACACGCCACTCATACCTCTGAGAGCCTGCATTGTCTTGGTACATCGGTCAGAGAAGCCAGAGAAGAGCAGCAAGGGCCAGTGACTCACAGAGTTTCAGAATATTCCACAACATGCTTCTTGTGGCCCCTGTGTTTAGTGACAGTCCCCACTGGTGGTCACAAGCCCCAGCCCTAAAGTCAGGGTAGTTGGGTCCCAATGCCAGTTGGAATACAAGACCTCAGGTTTGGCTTGACAGGCGCGGCAAATAATAATAATGCAGAGCACATGGTTACATTTGCATATCAGATAAATAATGACTTGTTTGGTTGGCCTAAGTATTTCAGAGACACGCTTCTCTGGAGTTTAAACATAAGCCAGGGTCCTGCATTCTGTCTATTTAACAGTCCATGCATTGACCTCCAAGCCTTTGTCTTCTCATCTGGAAAAGTTTCATGATTCTCTTTAGTTTCTTTGTTTTGGGGCCACACCCGGTGTTGCTCAAGTACTCCTGGCTCTGCACTCAGGGATCACTCCTGGAGGGGTTTGGGGGAGACCCTCTGGGATGCTGATTGAACCGAGTTGGCCACGTACAAGGGAAGAGCCCTCCTCACTGTACTATCACTCTAGCCCAGCATCTCATGATTCTTAGGAGTCTTTCAAAATAACACCTGCACAGCCACTGACCAAGTTGCACCCTGCCATTGTTATTTACTGCTAGCACTGTGTTATTAATATCAGTACTGCATTTCATAGCATCCTGTCTGCGGTCTACTGTGCTCAGCTGTTTCCATTATCACCTCTCCAATCACCAGAGGAAGAGTTTGTCCTAATCACCAGAGCCCCGATGCCTAGAGAGTTCCCTAGAAGAGAACAGGTGTTAGTCATATATGCTAAGTCATTTACTTGTTTATCAGAAATATTCAAGATGCAGCGAGTGAAAAAAAATCAATGATCCTGGGAATATTTATCACAAAAGCAAGATTCCCAACTTTTTAAAAAGAAACAGCAAGACAGCCTATCTATTGAAACTGATTTACGTGCCACTGCAGTTGACTCATTAAGAATGCCAGGGAGACAGTCAGCTGTGGTTCAAATTCTGCTTCCTTCTCTCCTTCCTGTCTCCACCCTCTGTCATCAAATGTAGGTGGTCAGCTACCAACCTCAAACATTTCATACAAGTTCATACATGTAAAGCCTACATGTTCCTTGTGTTGCCAGGCACAGAACACATTGGTCAATGTGTATTTATTTTATGTCTGCCCTGTGCCATTCCATCAGGGAGAAATGGACAGAAGATCAGGGAACATGGGAAGGAAAAAGGTCAACGAGAACTAGCGAAGGTACAGGGTGCCTTGTCCCCAAAACTCATGCCAACACAGGGAGAGCCCACCTGGGTCCTCTGAGGGAGGCCAGGACTTCCTCAAGGAAGAACAAAGAGCAATGTGCCAAGATGGCGCAACTCATATACTTAACAACGCCTAAAATTTGTGCGTAGAGTTTATCTCTTCCTATTAGACTATAACTGACTGCTTCTCAGCCTTTTGACTAAGATCCAGTGCAGTCTGTTCTTATCAGTTTAATGTCTGATACATCCTCGATCTGAGGACAATATATTAGATGGATTTTTGGAGCAGGGAGTTGGAATAGGAGCTTGCTCTGTCCACTCCACACATCCATCGACCTGACATTCCAGTACCTCTAGGGAATTCTAGTACCACCAGCGTCATACTTCTGGCTTTCAAAGACAGACCTTTCCTCACTTCTGCCTGCATATGACTACTGTCCTTTTTTTTTCTTCCACTTTTGTTCTATGTCTTCTGCTTCATTTTGGTTCCAGCACCAGTGGAATGTGTCTTTTATATATGTGCTGGTGTTTTTATCTGCAGACACTGAGCCAAGAAGATCTGTACCCCTTGTACTTTATTTATTTATTTATTTATTTATTTATGCTTTTTGGGTCATGCTGGGCATTGTACAGGGGTTATTACTGGACCATGCACTCAGGAATTACTCCTGGCAGTGCTTGGGGGACTATATGGGATATTGGGGATTGAACCTGGGTTGGCCATGTGCAAGGCAAATGCTCTACCCACTGTGCTATCATTCCAGCCCCATCCCTTGTACTTAAAAAAAAAAAAACAAGTAAAAATGAGAGCAGAAACTTTTAATATTTTTTGTTTACTAACATCCTAGAATACCTACTATAGGATTATCAAGCAGTTTTCTAGGAAGGATGATGAGGAGTAAATTGAGAGGGACTTTTTAAAATTTCAATCAATCTCCCATACTTTCCTCTCCCACTCACTCCGCCAAGCTCTCTCCTTCCTCTGAGTGTGTGATGAGTTCTGAACAGTGGCCAGTAGGAAGGGGTAGAGGAAAAGTAGAGACAGAAAATAAGGAAGAGAGATGATCCCAGAAGTGCTAGGAGGTAATAGAATCTTCTCTCATCTCTTACACTCATTCATCCAACATTCAACAAACACCTCTGGTTTAAAATTTTACTTTGTTAAAGTACGTGCCTTGCGATTGTGCACGTTTATGTTTTCAGCATTCAAAGCTATCGTACCAAGTTTCCAACAGTGTTTCACCATCATTCTTAGGCCATTTTTAGTCCACTCCACCCTTCCACAGTCCTTTACTACTACTTGGTTATCTCAGTTCTGTTGTCAGAGTCAAATGGTTTGTTATTATTGGGCTCTATCCATTCTCTTCTTTTGTTTCTTTATGTACCATGAATGAGTGAGATTATCTGATGTTTGTCCTCCTCCTTCTAAATTACTTCACTTAACCTGATGCCCTCTAGTTTTATCCAAGTTGTTGCAATAGACAAGATCCCATCTTTTCTTTTAACTGAATAATATGCCATCCAACAAACATTTCTTGCACATCTACATAATTTGGAATTGGGATAATTAGAAATTATCATTCACCTCCCTCTTTGGGGGAGCACAAAACACTAGACACTATAAAAATTAACTTTATCTACCTTAAGGTTTATAAAATTCTCCTATATATTAATTTGGGGTATTGGAATTGAGTATATATATACATATATATATATGGTGTGTGTATGTGCTTATAGAGAATATTCTTAAAAGAATGTAAGAGAAACTAATCATATTGATTGATTGTGGGGGAAGGAAGTTTCTGGATGATAGATAAGTCAATTTCATTGTCTATTATGAACTTTATTGACTAGTTTGTCATATTCATCAATTACTATTTTAGTTTTTAAAATAGAGTTAAAATTTTTTTAAATTTCTAATTATAAAATACAATTTCTGAAAAAAATGTTCACAAAGGAATTGTGATTCTACCCTTTGGCTATAACCATTGGTAAATATTCTACTGTTTTTTTTAGTGTGCATTCTCTCTATTTCCTCCACCAACTGCCAATGGTTTGTATCCTGGGTCTTTTCTTCCCTGTGTTTAACCAGACATTGCCATAGTTTCCCACTTTATCGAAAAAGATTTCTGGAGCCCAGAGCTATGGCTGAGCAGAGTGCATACTTTACATGTGTGTCCAGGGTTGAATTCGTGGCAGCACAACAAAATATGTGGCCCTAGCACAACATTAAGTGTGACACCCCCACTGGTACCACAATAAGAACAACAAAAATATGATCATTTTTACACTGGTGATGGGATCTGCGTCCTCCTGTTGTTCATCGATTTGCTTGAGCGGGCCCAGTAATGTCTCCGTTGTGAGACTTATTGTTACTGTGTTTGGCATATCGAATACATCACAGGTAGCTTGCCAGGCTTTGCCGTGCAGGCAAGATACTCTCGGTAGCTTGCTGGGCTCTCCGAGAGGGGCGGAGGAATCGAACCCGGTTCAGCCAGGCCTGCCATGTGCAAGGCAAACACCCTACCACTGTGCTATCGCTCCAGCCCGATGATGGGATCAGTGCAGGAATATTGTGAATCTAAAACTCAACAAGAAATAACTTTGTAAATAATAGTGCTTTAATAAATTAAAAATTGTTAAAAGATCAATTTTAAAAAATTTCCCTTATTATAGCCTTCTGATTACCACGGCCATAGTAAAGATATCCCATTATTAGTTATTATTGGACATTGGGTGCCTCTTGACATGATAGTATTGCAATAAATATCTTACATTTGCATCTCAAACTATTTCTTTATAAAATTATTTTCTGTGAAATGCCTGGGAAGATATTCAATATGTCTTACTATTCCTGTGTTAACACAAAGGAAGGGTTTATGCTATATTCAGGGGGTAAAAAGGTGATGCAAGACAGTTGTCATTCATTTGGGGACACGTAGATGTGTACAAATATGTGCATGCAATACACATGTATACATCTGTGTGAATGAGAGAAAAGATGGAGAAACTATAAACCATAGAGCCAGCAATCCTGTTCCTCAAGTTCATAGGGACTAGGTACATTTTCATTTTCTAACGTTTGCTTCTATTTCCTAAAATGTCTGCTAGTGTGAATACTGTGACACGTACCCAAATTCATGCTCTGAGATTAAGAGGATCCTGATTGCCCAAATTCTGGCAGGGTTGCCCTCAATAGCTCTCAGCATGGCAGGCTTGTACTCATCTGCAGGAGTGACCTTCCTAGGACATAGCATCATGTTGACAGATTAAGACCTGATTCCTTGACCCAGCCCTCCACAGGGAGTAGCTGAGGCCTTGGTGATAACTGTCTCATGGCTCAGTTTCTCCATCTACCCATTTTGTTCCTCTTGCTCCTGTTTTACAAAGGCCAATCTACAGCATCTCTGTTTGGCTTGGGAGGTGGGTGGCGTTGTTTATTTGTTTGTTTGCCACCACATCCAATGTTGCTCACGAGTTACTTCTCCTGGCTCTGCACTCAGGAATTACTCTTGGCGGTGTTTAGAGCCTAGTGGGACGCTGAGGATCAAACCTGGGTTGGCTACATGCATGTCAAGGCCCTACCCACTCTACTACCATCCAACTCAATCTACAGCATCTCTAATGAACAGTTCAGCTTCTCTAATGAGCAGTTATTCTTTGGTATGAAATAAAACACACACACATATGTTTTATATATTTTTGTAAATAATTATTGAGGGAACATTGGTTTAAAAAAACTGTGTTGTCAATGAGAGAGAGAGAGAGAGAGAGAGAGAGAGAAGGAAAGCACCTGCCATAAGGCAGGAAAGAGGAAGGAGGTGGGGGTGGGGGTGATGAGAAGGAACCTGAAGACACTGGTGCTGGGAAATGTACAAAGGTGAAGGGATGGGTATTGGAAAAATGTATGACTGAAATCCAATCATAAACAGCTTTGTAAGGGTCTATTTACAGTTATTCAATAAAAAAAAGTTAAAAAAAAAACCTGTGTTGTGGCCAGGGAGATGATTCAAGGGCTGGAGGATCTGCTTTATATCTGAGGCCCCTCTTCAATCCCTGGGTCACATGATCTCCTGCAGGAGAAGTTCTGAGCACCATAAACAAATAAACAAAATAAATAAAACTGAGATCTTGGAGTCCATCATTTAGTAAGAAAAACACACAACTGGATGTGGTAAAGGTATGATTCACACCTCCTTGAAATATGTTACCACGTCACACCCACCATCAAACCATCCATATCCCTCGGTCACCGTCACTGGCCCTCCGCCCTGCTTCGGTTCCTTTCTTTTTCCTCCCACTGACGTCACCTGGGTTCTGCCTTCCAAGTCCAAGAATGGGTTTTCATTTGCCTCCTCTGTTCCCTGGCTCTGCTTCTTTATACCACACATAGATGTCAGATCATCAGTATCTGCCTTTCCTCATCTGATTGGTTTTACTTAGCATTAGCCCTCCAGTTCCATCCATGCCGCCACAAAAAAAGCAAGATTTTTATCTTTTTTTGTAGCTGCATAGAATTCCATTGTGTATGTAGACCAGCCTTCTTCTCTATCCACTCATCTATCATTGGGCACCTTGGTTGTTTCCAGATTTGTGGAGACTGTGAATAGCAGCATGATGAGTGTTAAGGGTGCCTGTATCTCTTCTAACTCGAATTTCTGTCCTGTTTGGAGAAATACCTATGAGTTAAATGACTGGATCATATGGTGTTTCTATTTTTAATGTTCTGAGAAATCTCCCTACGGTTTTTCACAGAGGCTTGAACCAGTTGACATTCTCACCAACAGTGGATGAAGGGCTTTCTTTCTCTATATCCCACCAGAACTTGTTTCCCAAGGAAAACTTTTAATTAACAAAGTCCTTATAAAATGTTCTACTTTTTGTTTTGGATGATCTTATGCTAAAAAAAAAGAGCCTACTCTCCAAAGTAATCTATTAGCTATACAGTGGTATCTGCTTCTCAGGTGATAACAGGAAGAGGCAGAAGAACAATCAATCAGTCTTTTTTGTCTCCTAATAATATCCCTGGCTGAGGTGCTCATCCCAACCAGCTGACATTTCCATAACCCACTTGCCACCTTATGTGTGTTAAATGACTGATTGTCGGAGATTTTAATCCCATCTATTAAGCCAGCAGGTCCAGTAATTCCCTGAATGCAGTTTTATTGACTTTGTAAATCAGACTTCCCCACATCAGGGACTGTGACCAGGAGAGAGGTGTTTGTCTGTGAAATTGGCTGGACACAGACCATTGACTGTGATGATAACCAGTGATTTGTGGGGCCAGATAGACAAGCCACATGCACTAAGCAGATTAAAATATAACAAAACAAAAGGGTTCCATTACCAGGAATACTGGCAAAGGGCAT